GTGAGCACCAAGACCCTATCACAGAAGGCGAAATGGCAGTATTCACGTTGGGAGACGTTCAACGCCTGGCAGAGGTTAACATGCAGGAGGACGTTAGAACCTACATTGCCCTGAAGGCAGGTCATGGAAGGACCTTTAGGGAGAACACAGAGGCCTTCAGCAGGTGTGTACACACTACGTACTATATATAGAACGTAAGTTTTGCTGTGAAAGCAAGGAAGTGATTGTGATAGAAATGAAGTAGAATGTTCTACACGGAAAGCCTAGCGAGTCATTCATTTAGCAAACGTGGCTTTTGTTGTTGGCCAAGTGACCGCTGCAGTTTCTATGAATCCACAGCGTACTTTCGTGACACGAGCACAAGACGTACAAGACTATCAGGTATCAGTTGAATTCCCGTATAAGGTAAAATTGGGATGCCCTTCATCTCTAATATGCCTGTGTCATGACAAAGCAACGCTGATTAATAGGTGGGGCCCGAGGGTGCAAGGCAGACGCAACTTGCCATTACCCTTGCGGTCATCTTGTAGTGCTAACGGATCTGTGCAACTCTATGCAGAAACACTTCACAGTCACATGCTTACTGCGGGGCTTCCCATACCTCACAAACAGCTTTGTAAGTTGTCACACATTCTACTATACTACTAAAATTTGTGCGCCACACCGAATATAGAGGCGCTCGTACAGACATTGAATCGCGGTTCTACAAGCGAAATTGTCTTCAAAGCTTCTAGGAGGCGTTGAAACTGTGCCAACAATAGCCGATGCAACGTCAAACGCTATTATACTAGCATTAGAAACTGTGCCTCGATTCGTTTAGCGCCATGTGTTCTTTGGCAAAACACTAGTCTCATGCGAGACTAGTGTTTCCTTGACGTAGTGAAGGGCTCCTCATTTCTGATAGATATATCAGTTCTATTTATCAGAAATGAGGAGACTCATCATTTTACTTCTCATCTGTGTACAGGATAGTTTTCCGACCCCGGATCTTCGTGGATGTAGAGAAGGTAAAGATATCGACCACTGTGCTCGGCCATGAGGTAGCTCTCCCGGTTGGCATGGCTCCATCAACTGCCCAAAAGATTGCGCACCCTCAAGGAGAGATTGGCACTGCGAAAGGCAAGGCCCTCCAACTTGTTCTATATGCTCATCATCACCATCATTATCATCATGAGCTGAACTACGTGCTCAGCAGATCAAATGCCTCTCAAACATTTCGCTAATCAACAGGTAATGTGCTTTAAGCAGCCACGTCATCTAAGTTCGCAATCTCAACTCTCCACCTAACTTTCTGCATTTCCGTTGTGCGCTTGCCCCTTAGTATCCTGAAATCCAGTCTGTTACATCCAATGGGCAACACTTAACTTGTCTCCGTACTAAGTGCACGGCCCTTCTTGCTTTCTCCTTCGTTGCGATAAGATGTCCTTGACATCTGCTTCTTTTTTGACCCACTCTGCTTTCTTCTTGTACCTTACGGTTACACCTACTATTTTGCTTTCCGCTGCTGGCTGTTTTCTCCCGAATTGAAGTTGAGCTTTCATAGTAAGCCTCCCGGTTCTCACTCCGTAAGAGACTGATGGTAATCTGCTGCTGTTCTATACCTTTCGCATGAGGCTTGTGGCTATATTATCATTCATGAATTCAGAATGTTTTCCGGAAAAGTTCAAATCATTCTTTATTGTTCTAAATAGTAAGTCTTACGTTTAGGCTGTGTGGTAGACATATTTTTTTACACCGTCGAGTGTCTGACTACATACTGCAAAGCGCTGTTGTGCTCCGAGACTGTTCAAGGTTACTTAAGTTTACTGCATATTGATGTTCAGATCTACCATTCAGCTACCCCACTTAGTAATCATGAATTGCAGTGAAGGCCCTTAGTTACTCATCAGGGCATTGTCATCACCGAATAACAGGTTACTGAGGTACTCTCCGGCAACTCATATCCGGGACTGTTACCTGTCTAGCCCTCTGAAAATGTCCCGCAAGCATGTGGTGAACGGGTTGGCAAGGACCGTGTATCCTTGCCACACACCCTTCTGTACTAAAATTTTAAGGCTTTCATTACGATGAATATGACAGCTGTTGTGCCGTGTTACACTACTTTCAGTATTTATTTATATAGTTTCCCGACACCATGAATCCGTAGTTTCCACATGTATACCGAGGTTTCGACCAAACAACTTGTCTTTTCGTAAGGCACGATAGCTTCTAATAGGCGCTTGTTACATCACGCTGATTTCTTCGCAATTATTTCCACTGTGGCAAGGTGTCCTTTTGTCGAGTAGCCTATGCTCACCCTGGGGCTCAGTTCAACTCAGTGACATTTTAGAACGGAGTTTCATGTGGAATGCAGGCTTGATCTTTAGCGACGTCTACGCCAAACAACGAGCACAAGAAATCTAGGGGACCACCTCCAAGTAGACGATGCTGGTACGTGAATACATCATATTGAAAGATCACAGGTGATGAAAATTTGTGACGAGATTATGACAACGCACAATGCCTCACTATATGATGTCACTCGATGGCGTATAATTAACTAACAAGTTCAAAAGGCCATGTGCGGTCTGATGGCAGAGGCCGCGCAAAAAATAATTAGGCTGTGCAGTGCACCTTTCATACGTATGTCATCGCTTCATTCGAGCCCAGGCGCTTCGTTGACAGAGTCATGCACAGGGTTGCCGTTCAATTAAGAAGAAAAAGGGCCTCAAATTCAGCAAAAAGTAGCGAAAGATGTCATGCTAGCTATTTTGCGGCCATTTTGTTCACTAATTTGAAAAAAAAAAGTTAAGGTGAGGGCATATTGCAACTAATAAATAATACTGCTTTGTGTGAGTGATACTAACAGCAATTATTGAAGCAATTTGTGGTAAAACAACCATATGATTAAGATAGACATATTATTGAGGTCTGGAAATTGTGACCACTTTGGGTTCGTTAAAGCGCACCGTTAAAGCGCACCGTTAAAGCGCACCGTTAAAGCGCACGCGGGCCTCTACACTCGGTGACGACTAGACTCGACAATTCAACGTCATTCGTGTTGCTTTGCAACACAAATGGCGCTGAATTGTATTTTCATAGCCGTTTCTTGCTACTGGTCAACATGTACAGAGGTTTTATAATGACTTGTTCGGTACATGTGTGCGTAAACAATTGAATATTGAGTAGTTTTTTTGCGCAAGCGACGATATAGCAGTGTATACAACCGGCGTGTCACAGTGTAGATTTCCCGTTATTTTGATACCCACAACCTAAATATTGCTCAAGAAAATACTAATACAACATGCTGAAAAGTTATGCAAGTGCGTTTGTTCCCTACGGCGTACCAAATTACTGACTGAAGATTGCGTGTCCATACGAGGCAGAGAATTTATGTACTGGCTAGTGCGCGGCCGGCAGCTTTCGCTAACAGTCTGCGTTGCTGAAATTGCGACGCATCATTGGTCATCGCCACTTTTTGGGCACCGTACTCGCTGAAGAATGGTTGATTTGGATTGACGAATGTCTAAAGTATATTTTACACTTCTTCGCACATTTTGAAGTTATGTGTACCTAAAGCAAGAAGCGCCGGTAACATGTACACCGATGCTGCCAGCGCGATAGGCCTAATGCTTGCTGGGCCGGGCATGGTTGAGACCACTCTCGACGTATCTGAGCTGGGAAGGTTAAAGTTTCTGCATTTAGCTTTCGAGCATTTCTACCCGTTGCCTAAACTCTACCTGAAGTAAGTAGAAGGATAAGCATGGCGAGACAAGCACTTACGGTGTAGCGGAATCGGACGACAGCTGTTTGTTGCGGCTCCACAGGGACACCTTGTGGAGCGATCGTGAAAGCCTCATTTACATCTCGTCAGCTTTGCGGCGTGAAAGATTTCCTGTTTCTGTTAGGAATGGCACCCAGCTCCAGTCCTATAAACGCTACAACATGGAATCATTACAGCAATACACGACTGATTCAAATATGTTATACGTAGGGCAAGCAGAAAACGTGAAATAATTGCTGAAATACGTACGTGCACCACAACAATTACTGCTGTTATTGACGCTCTGCGTGAATATTAAAGTAAAGTGTTTTCGAAAACAGAATAATCACCGTTGGCTGCTTGAAGTTATTAACATAATTTTTTTCCTCATTCCGAAGGAAAACATTAAAAATGGCAGTGATTACGCATATCTCACACTGTAAATGTCTCGGGTTTATTCTCTATCTCCGCCAAGCGACCAACTGTGAGGCATGCTCGGGACCTGTTAGAGTAGCATCTATCCGTGCCGTCAAATCAAGTGTTTTATATTTAACGATACCGGAACACTCTGCTGCACACGCAACATTAACAGGCACGTGAACTAGCATAAACAGTGCGCACCAGCGCATTTCAGTAAATATTTCAGCCTTTTTAACGCTTCCGAGTGCGCGCCAGCGTCACTGTGGTCAGGCCAGCGCCCCTACCATGTGACCCAGTTTTTTTTACCATTCGCGAATAAAATAGTTTGGATGCGTGTGTTGCTGATCTTCCATCCCATGCTTTTTCTTCCATTCGAGCTGTTGCGCAAATATATACAAATTTTGACGGTGCGAACGTGTGCTCTGTTCGACTGTAATACTGCTTTTTGTTTCCTCACTCCCCTACAGTAATGCCCACTTGGGCGATGTAAGATGGCCTAATAAATAAATGAATAAATAAATACATACATAGTGAGAATTTATTAGAAGGCAGAGAGGTCGGCAATACATACATAAACAAAAACGTAAGTAGTGATGTAAATTTGATGCTGATGCCGGACACTGATCTAATTCATGTGGTGTATCACGTAACTTTAACACAAAACTCTGAAAAGGCTCAGCGCTAATCTTAGCAGCAGCTCAGCACAAAACGAACTCATATACTTTTGTACGCCAGTTGTTCTGCGAGATACCTTTCTCAGTAGCGTGCTTCGCCAGTGTCATCGATCGACATGCATCCGCTGACGTCTAGCATAAAAAAAAACACGTACGACTACGTCATGGAAAAGTTACCGCACCACTTAAAGGTCGCTTTATTTCATCCTGACACAGCGGCTGAAGACGCCGGCACGGTGATGATCCTGAGCAGCTTCAGCACCGTGTCACTCGAAGATGTGAGGGCCGCGGCTCCCGCCTGTCTCCTATGGCAGCAGACATACATCTTCCGTGACCGAACCATTACGCAGTCCCTGGTGGAGAGGGCTGCCGCCAGGGGTTTCTCAGCCATCGTGGTCACCGCGGACTCACCCGTGTACGGAGACGGCGTGCAGCGTCACGCGTATGCGTACGATTTGCGGCGTGGCCTCAGGTACAGTATTACATTGCACGCAGTTAGGTCCTATGTGTTAACTAATAACATCGACGTCATAACAATCTTGAGAAGGTCGAGTATACCGAGCTACACTCAAAGTATACACAATTCGGTCTTTGCTTGTTGACTGTTTGAGCGCTGGCGCTAGGAGTTAGGTCTGCTTTAAAAAAAAAAGGTCGGGGGCCAGCTGGTGCTGCTGTTCGTCTACTGAACTCAGTCACTGAGAAACAATTTCATTTTTTGACACATTGCTTTGCTAGGAACTTTAGAGCACAAGACAATAACTTGGAAATCAATAGGGGGATAACACAGGCTACACAATTTCACAAGGCTGCTTCCTAATGCGGTTTTAATACAAGGAAACTGAACTGGCACTCAGACAAGTAGGAGTCAAATCAGCCAAACCATACTTTCAAGTGCTTTACTGCGGGCATTGTTTCATTCATATATCTATCCTATTGCAAATTAGTTTGGTGGAATCCAGCAAGCTGACAGCAGAAATAGGAAAGGGATGTTGTGCTGCAAAAGGTGATGACAAGATTCGTACGAATTTCTCTTTTTTTCCCGTTCTCAATTTCTGCCTGCGAAATTATGAGCGCTTGCATTGGCACGAACGGAGTGAGATCACGCTTGAAGCGGGCGACAAATGCGTCCAACTGCACTCGTACTTTTCTGATGTAATTGTTTTCACAGTATGTGGCTCTTGAAGCTAATACAGCGACTGTTCTCTTAAAACTACAAACATGCTGGAAAGGTGCGTGCACCCCTAATCACACATGTCGTTTTTATGGGTCATTTGTTTGCTATGCGTAAAGATGAGTACTGTGGCACCAGTGAAACTAGAGAGAGCCAAGAGTTCGATATTTCTTCAACTTATTTTTAAACCAGATTTCCGACACAAACAATTTGTTTCGTCAGAAATGGCGTGTAACTCAGCTGAATCTTCTGATTATTTTGAATAATTAAAAGTAAGTATATTAAGCCCGCTCATGATGTACTGGTTGTGAGCAGTTTAAGAATCACAATGTGTTTAACTTGTTAGAGAGACGAAAGAGCGTCACCGGTCACATCATAAGTTATGGAGAGCTAGCCGTGCATCACGTGCAAGTTCTGTGCTACTCAGCGCCCCCATAATGGTAAACGCAAGGCGCAACGTTCATCAATGCACCGTACTTTGAATTTCTGCTTCATGGCACTACGAATCATTGCCATGTGAAAATGCGCAGAACTTCGCGGTACAGTCAACTGCTGGTGGTATAGTTTTCACCTGCTAGCGTTATTTTATGCAGTCAAATTTTGTCCCTGCGTTGCTCTTGTTACTGTCCTCGAATAGCATTGGTCTCGTGGAACTCTTATCAGTGAGTCTTCGCAAGTGAAGAAGCAGAGCGCGTCGCTCGTTCGTGAAAGTGGACGTTCTGGTTCCGTCTATTAGTACACCTTGGGTGCTATTCTAGGCAAAGTCTAGTTCCGCCATATTGTCGAATTTCGCAATGGCGACATTTTAAGTCAATAAGAGAGATCGTAGCAGCTCACTTGGCCAATTAGCATTCATAACTGGCGGAATCTGACAACATGGCGGAATTCGACAATGTTCACAATAGCATTTCTCATCGTTTCTGACCCATTCTGACATCTTATTTGTGAAGACAAAGTCATCTGCTAAAGTTTGTGAAACAACACCAGCCCAAAAGTGCGGCGCCCGCTTCGGGCAGGATGGCCACTATGTGCAGCTAGATGTAATCAGAAAGTAATCAGCTGAACCCTTCCGTCGTCAATGAAGCTGATGAGTGGTCCTTCGGGAATGGTGAACAGTTGTTCTCGGTGGTCACGCTTTCTTAGTTGGTCGTGCATCATTCAGCAGCATTCCGGTCTTCAGTTAAAGCGCTGCACTCCAAACTCAAGTGCTCTTGATTGTATGTGATCTGTCTACTTGTGTTCTATTTTTCGTGGCTTCTTGCAATGTTTCTTTATTCTGGTCTTCTTTTCCCAAAACTTGGGTCATTAACCAGAAATGGCAGTTTATTTTGAATAAACCAAAGAATGAGAAGTGTCTTCTTGAATTTCATCTGCTAGAGCTCCGTGGAAAAACATACACAGTACCTCTGCAGTGCTTGCATCAGAATTAGGAATTCCTAAATCTAACCGACGCCTGACACGATCAGCACAGACTAAACAGAGGAGCAAACACTTTTTAAAACTTCTGATAAATCTCACTGAAATTCCGTCCAAACGAAGTAAGTACATCCGTAACATACTCCAGAGGTGCCCGCAAAAGCTCCGGTTAGCCGGAGTGAAAACCCGCGAAAAATGTTCCGGAGGTTCCACGTAATCACTTCGGCCAGCGAGAGCGAAAGTCTTGAAAAAATGTTACGGTGGCGCCACGCAATTACTCCGGCAGGCCGAAACGAAATATCAGTGAGAAATGTTCCGGGTGTGCCACGCAATCACTTCTCATCATGGGCCGGAGTAAACAGCCGGAGTACACTCTTTGCTTCGGAGATCTGGGGCAAAAATTACTGCGAATTCTGGGGTCGCTAGAAGACGACCGTTTTACTCCAACCTCAGAATAATTTTTTATAGTGTACGGCTAGCCATGCCGCAGAGATAAATCGTTCTAAGAGCTGAAAGTGCAGAGAAAAAGTAGCTTGACAGCCCGGATGATGAATACGGCAGTCATCGAGATATTGTTAGTCAACTAGGGCTTTACAATGTACGTTCGTGGCAGGTATTGTCGCCTTGAAATGTTGGAAGACGTTAGGAACGTGAGGTAGAGAGCTAGGTTCCAGCTTGATGCAGCGCTTCTAGGGAAGGTTATCAAGCCAGTAGACTAGATAATGTTGTCCCGGAGAAGACAGAGAAGGCAGCTAATAACAAAGCTATGAATGAGTTGTGGCTCTTTATGAAGTAGGACAATAATAATCCTATGGGTAATCTGGGCTTAGCAGATGCTAAGCAGATGGTTTTCTGATGTTCTAGTTAGTTGACCAGAACAGCTAAAACTAAATGTTGTTTACAGAGACAGATAGTCTTCGAATGTTTATGCAAGCAAGTAACACTGCTGAAAGAGCAGTTAGGAGAAAGTGTGTAGATTTGTGGAGAATGTGATCTGTGCAATTTGTGTGGAACATGTATTATGTATGAAAATTCATTAATTGGCTCATGTTAGGCAGCAAACATTCTCAAGGAATTTGGTCTGTTCAACATGGAGATCATATCATCTAGCCATTACGTAGTATGGTTGCAACATCTGTACGTCATTTCAGATATTTATTGTTCCTGTTCAAAGAAGCCTAGGTGTGCAATCAATATCGGGGTATAGTACTGCTCTTATATTTTGTAGTACAACAAATGAGAACGTCTTCTACATTTGTGAAGTTTGGCGACTTGTATGCTTATATCAATTTACAGTGGGGAGTGTGCATATGTTCCTGAAACATGTCATATTAGAAACAAATCGGCTTTTGTGATTAGTGTGTACTTCTAGCTACATGAAAATTGAATTAGCAGTTCTATGTGTTGTTGTTCTTTTGCTACTGTGGACAATGTTTTTTTTTCTATGAAAAGAACTTTCTTGTGTGTGGAGGGGGAAAGTTATTCTTATGAGTCAACAAAAAAGACTGCGACGACAGCGAAAGTGCGAAGGCGAGCACGCTTGATTTCCTGCTAACTGTGTGTGTGAAGCTAGCAAATCAGTTGGTGACCTGTGATGGCCTATAGAAGTGGCATGTCATGATTGGACCACGTGTTAGGATTGCGTGGCGAGAAGCTTCATGGCTGGGGTAGAGCCAAAGCTGTGGCAGATTGAAGGGGACGATGCAAGCGCGCGATGGTGCAGGAAGTGCTGCGCTTTGGCTCCGTTGATTTTCGGCTCGAACCACAGGCAACTAACCGTACCCCATCACGATCAGCATCAATTGTTTCAGCGACTCACAGGCCCGACGTAGATACCAGTATCAGGACTCGCTCTCTGGATTTCGTGCCGGCCGGTTGTGGCCCCGCGATCTGCGGTGACAGCACAGCTCTGGCCAACTGGGCGCGCCCTACGCCATCTCCTGCCGCCGACAAGAGCTCTCACCGAGTGGCGCCCGTCCTGAGACTCCTGCGACCATGTCCATCTTTCCTTTCTCCTCCTTACTTCCGTCGTTTTCTGTCATTCACTGTCTCTGCACATCGCTCTCTCCTTCTTCTGTCTCTATCTCTTTAACTTTTCATCATATCTTTTTAATTCCTCCTTGCCCCATCCCTCGTGAGTTACTGTTGAGGTGTCGCACTCTTATGCAGACAGTTACGGGGCTCACTTTTCTTTTCTCTTTAGGAATCACATACCAGTATCCTCCAGGTGGGTAGTTCTGGACAACCTTACGGTAAATTTTCACTCGACCACATAGGTGACGCCGTTAAACCAAACAGCGACGCCTACGGCCGGTGACGTATAACCGGCGTTCAGAGTCAACATGGTCTCGTCTACGCTCACTCTGCGTGCATACGACCCACATTCCAAGACGTGGGAGACCATTGCGACTTCCGAAGTGTCCAATGCTGCTTCTTTATCGAGGTTTCAGAGCCAAGCTCTCAATGACGTGGTTGAAAGACATTCTTAAGCCAACGCCAAGAAGGCGGTGTCTGCCGGTGGCCCGGTGTCCGGCACGCCGGTTGACAAGACGCTGCATCTCGCTTCGCGCGCTGCATGACGCAAAGGCAAGACGCTGATCAAGTGAAAACCTCGCCTTTTTTCAAAGCCGAATCTGCACGACTATGTACTAGTCGTTAAGCTACGTGAGTACGTCTCCTTGTGTCAAGCTTTCTCGGAGAACTCGTATGGGACCGAGTTCAAGGCATACCTCGGGCCTGAGCGAGCTGAGACACTGACAGTTCTTTCCTCGAGAGAGCAAAATTTAATCGTCAATGACATGGCGGACAAAGTCATTAGGGACTTCGCGATAACCATTGAGAACAGGCAGGTGCTTCTCCATAGACACCTGCGACAATATTGTGGCAACGTCTGCCACAGAGTAATTGAAGTCCGCAACTCTGATACGACGGAGACGCTCCGAGAGAGTGTACGCTAGAGTTGAGGCATCATTGTCGAGGGGCGCGAATTTGGAGACATCGAACAAGGCGCGTGTAAGTTTCGCCGGAAAGGAGAAGCCGCGCTCTGTTCACTATGACACAATGCTGATCCCAGTTAACCCTTACTAAAGCATAATCCCGGTCTTCGGCAAGTTCGGTGTCATCGGCCATCGGATTAAAACTTGTCCTAACCCAAGACCTGACACATGTGCCCTGTGTGGACAGCATTCCCCTCACAGAAAAGTGGGTGTGGGCTCATGATTGTCAACTCATATGTTTCGTGTGTAGTGGAGCACGTGCCACAAACCCTCGTGCATGCACAGAAGAGTACGGTAATTCCAAGGTAGCCACTCAACAGACGGGAAGCCTAGAGGGGCATCCAAGCAACGCCGCAAATATCACCATCCCAGTGAGCCACCCCGCTGGGAGGTAGTCAAAATAGACAAGCCAATTTCTTATGCTGGATTCGTTTGGCAGCCACCGTCAACACCAACGCATGGCGGAATCGGGAAGTAGGGTTCCTCGATGCCCGCGCCCCTTTAAATGGCGGAGAGGGGCGTCGGGAAGCAACTGTCGACGCCACCATGTGGTGAGGCTGCGTGCTGGGCTAACGCCATTAAAAACGAAGGCCAGATGAGTGGTATGAATAGAGCTGCCTCTTCATTACCCCAGATTATTCCTTCTTCAGCACGTAACACCGACCGAAATATTATCACTAAACTTCAGTAAGAAATCGACGAGTTGCCGAAAAGACCAGCGCCCGCCGAGGCAAAACAGACCGAAGTTGTTTCATCTCCCCTAACCCCCGCAATAGAGGTAAAAAAAATGAGACTGGGGTGACGGCAGCGGACGCGGTAGCCATATTCGAGGCTCGTCGGAGCTCCCTTGTGGTCATATCGGCCTCCGGCTGACTGTTCTCAAAACCCAAATCTCAGCGGCCATAAATGCCACCATTTATAAAACGATAGAGGCTATTCACACGCTCATAGCCCAACAAGTTGAGCGTTTGACAAGAAGAGCTGGCTTAATTGAGGACGTGTCCGCGCCGGTACCTTAAAACGCCTAGGTAACAAATGGAACTCGAAGATGGCGACAGCAACTCAGCCTCCGGATTTGAGGAGTCCCACCTCTTCACACGTGCTGGCTTTAGAGCGCCGTTATCACAATCACTCGTCAACTCCGCCGACCATGGCGGGCACCCTTATATTTCGGAAACCTCCGCAATTCGATTCGGCCAATGAAATCGAAATCACTCAATAAAATTGTCGGGGCTTAAAGGCTCACCACAAGCGCGTCAGTCTCTGGCTTTTCCCAGAAACATTTGAAAACCTGCTTGCAGTGGCAGCCTTCCAGGAGCCAGGGATTACTGCCACACTCACAAACTATACGTTTCAGCAGGATTCTGTATTCTGCATCTGCGTGCACGAAGCTTTCACCGCCAACATAGTTGATCTGGATCTTAAGCCAGAATTTTGTAGGTGATAGTGACACCTCGTCTGCTGCGTAAACATGACCTAACCTACTACGTGCTCAGCATTTATTGCGCACCGCGACTAGCCAACGTAACATTTGCAGGCCTTTTTAGCCACGCTTTAAAGGCTGCTGGCAAGGACCCGCTGTTGATCGTGGGTGATTTCAATGCCCCTAGTGCACTTTGGGGGTACGTGCGTGAAGAGAAACGGGGTCGTAAGTTGGCAGAAGTTATGCCCACGCTGGGCCTAACTCTCTACACCGATCCTGCCTACCCAACTCGCGTGGGTAAGTCCGTGAATCAGGACACGTGTCCGGACCTTACCCTCACAAAAACACTCGTTGGATCAACAACGAGGAGGCACTTGGCAGTGACCACTGCATACTCAATACTACTATTCGCACACGTCTTTCAGCAAGACCACAGGGACAGGCGAAATAGCCTCATTGGACGAAGTTTCAAAAAATGTGCGCTGACTGTACCACCATTGAGGAGCAAGGGTACCATGCTTGGTCCGAGCAACTGCTTTTCCTTTCTTCGCTCCACACAAACACACAATAAACTCTCGGAGGTGACTCCGGTGGTGGGTAACCACCTTTTCCACCTCTGAATGTCCCGGCACAGGCTTGTCCGCCGATGGCGCCGGCAAAAACAGATTTTAAAAACTCAAAATTTGCATCTCCGAGCTCACCCTATGAGAAACAGAGTATGCAACCCAGCTCGCTGACTTTAACTGGGTGGACCGATGCAGCATGGCTGCTTGCCAAATGTCCAGCCTGAGTACCTGGCGCTTTTTCCACGCCTTGATCAATCCGACCCAAACTCGAACAGACACAGAAAGGCATGTTCGACGAGCGTTTCACAGTTTCGATAAAAACGTGGCAAAATTGGCATATACACTTCGAGACCAATGCCTAGACATTGATTCTTCCGATGCCCAAGAGAGAAGAAACCAACTCAACAGAATTTTCAGTACCTCCCAAGCTAACAAGCAAATAGTCATCACAAAAAAGGCCCCAAAAGTGGTGCAGCTTTTGTGAAGACTCTCAAAGAAAGCGGAAAGTTCAGGAAATATTCTGTCCTTGAAAATATTGTTAATTAAATTAAAACATTACTCATATATGAGCACCAGTTGAAAGAAATCACTTTACATACTTTAGACAGCCAAGATATGTTCGAACATGAATGAAAGCACGTAATTATTTTTTAACATTTCAGCATTCGGTTGAATGCACTTTTAAAGACGCATGATTAACGTTACCTGTTGAATAACCCAACTTACGCCCGACTTGAACAGAAAATTACCGAATGTCATAAATGAACGAAAAGCGCGTTATCAATGAGTGCTCAAAGAATTCTAATAAATTGAAAAATGTGAATAGCCCCCCCCCCCTCCTTCCGAACGAAAAGAAAACAGCGCATCTCTTGAAAAATTTTACAAGCAATTCGGCAAAAAAATCTCAAATGCACCTATTGTTACGGAGACAGGTAACTCTGCTTCTGAGCGTGCATAAGCCCGAGACCTTGAACGTTCTTGTATTTTCGCAGTTTCGCCAATGTCGAGGCAGCAGTTCCGAATGGTTTCAAAGCATGTAAGACACGGGACGAGTATACGTGCCTATTGGATCCTCTGCCTTCGGCCACCTGGGATGATATCGAATGGCTACGCAGTCTCTCGAAGCTACCTGTAGTGGTCAAGGGTGTCCTCACTGGTAAGAACACTGTTTCTAGATTCGGTACAACCGAATATTTTAAGAGAAAGTTTGTTTGGCTGGTGACGTCAGAAGCGCGAAAGAAGTAGCCACACTGAACATAAAAAAAGACGTGGTTGATCCCTTCGTAATAGGCATTGGTATAGCACGGAAGTTATATGCGTCTTTACTGAAGTAGTTTAGTATTTTTGTTACATTGATATAATGCTGGTGTATGACAGCTGTAACACTATTTAATGTAGACGCATCCGCGCTTACCCTTAGTGAATCAGCTTCATCTCGACGACTGACGTCCATGAATAATGAAAAAAGGAAATCTTGAGGTCGTTAATGCTTGTGGTAGCTGTACTAGTTAACGGGGAGAGCGAAACCAGAGAACGCAGTATCAGATCCAGAAGAGCGTGACTGGTTGGACGCCGAACTTGGGCTAAGGTTGTACACTCATGGCATAGTCTTGGCATGTTATGAATATTGAACGTCAATGCCCGACTAGAGGAAAACACAACGCGCGCCATGTCTTCCCTTTTGACCAGCAGTGATTTGTCACTGGGCAAACTTGAGGTCGAAGTTACAGCCGGGTTAACCCGGCGCCTCATAAGGCGCGTCGAAAAGCTATTTTCGGTGTGAATTGATGCTATAAGCAATGCCGACGCTTGGGGTAAGGTCACCACCGGGCTTTGTGTTAAGGCATTGGCAAAATCGCACTTCTGTTCGAAAGTTGCCTAATAGAACCGATGCGTGGAAATGGCGCGTTGACGGAATGAATCGTGCTTAAATGTCGCCGTCATGTCGAATTACTTCACTTTACTAAAGACACTGCTAGATACAAATTGCGTGTTTTGAACGCCTACAAAGTGCTTGATCGTGGTGCAGAGGATAGCGTGCCCGGCATCTGCTGCCGCGGACTCAGAAGTCAATTGACTCCACTCCCTTTGAAGAAACTTTTTTGTGCTTTGAAGAATTTTTTTGTCCCATGATTGTGCGTGTTTTTTTGATGTAATTTGCGTAACAGAAGCACGTTACTGCTGCCTTGGTGAACTCCTGAATTCACCTGTCATTGCAATACTGCGTAGCGTGAACTTTCAGCGCTGTTTCACGCTGCTCTGACAATGCCAACTGCGTTTGAAACTCCGGGTATCTTCAGTTGTAGCATTGTAACACTCGCTACGTATTGTCACAGACAGTTAAAGCACTCAAACACTGCGCACCCCACTCTGCGCATTGAAGGCGTCGCGAACCAAGCAAGGTGCCGACGTCGTTCAAGTGTTACTTCGCTTTGCAGCCGTCGCTTATCAAGCGAAACACTTAGAACCATACAGTTTTATACAACAATACCTAGAGGGAAAGCTGGCGCTAGTGTCTACGCGGGCTTCTTCAGCAGTGCTTGTACTCCCATGGTAATTATGGGAACTACAGTCTTCGGATCCGCTTCAAAAGGATTACGTTCTTGAGATTAGCGACGCTGCTTTTCCGAGTATAAAAATATAATATGAACCTATATTTAATTGAAATTTGCTGCATTTATTTGTACGCGAACTATATTGAAAAAAAGTTTTTGTGACCAGGCGGCAAAAGTTAAACCTGGGCAAATTCAACCGTCAGGGTATGCATTGCTCTGCCACTGCGTTCCCAATTTAACATAAAGATTTATTAAATTATTTTTTGCAACACTTGAAAACAAACATGCTTGTTTTTCTTTGGAAAGTCCGCATTATCTATTTCTGGAGATATCAGTACAGTATTGAGTAACAAACGCCTAACGTTCCGTCTTCTGCGATGCTAGGGGGGTCTGACCAAGTGGTTTGCTTCCAACGCACCTCTGGTTTGTTGTCAAGTCAAATAAGCGGAGCGTGACAGTGCATCTACTTAGCTTCGTCATCGTTTTGCAGTCGATATAAAACGAGTTTAGGCAAGACACGCTCGTGAAAAAACATGAACTCGTTCAAATATCCTGAACTGGCATGAGACGCTACAACTATGCGCAGCGGTGAGTAGACGACGCTTTGTTTAAACTCCCAAATATGACTTTTAAAGCTCGAACGTTGCAGCAAATCAAGAGACCCAGCAGTCATCAACATTTTTGAAGAAGAAACGCACTGCTTCAGTTCTTCGCATCCCACTCCACTACCCACGCTTCACGAAGAACGAAACTGAAACTGTAGAAAAAAAAATGGCAGCATATACACGGAGTGAATGATGGATAGTGGGGCGAAGCATCCATCCGTCCATTTGTTCTTGCTTCCGTCCATTCAAGCGTGCGTCTGTGTAGCCGCCCGTGCGTCCATCCCCCCGTCCGTGCGTGTGTCTGTTCGTGCGTCCGCACGTTCATCTGTGTGTCCGTCCCTGCTTTCGTCCATGCATCCGCTCCTGCGCCCGTCCATCCGTCCGTGCAGCCATCCGTGTGTCCGTCCATGCATCTGTCTGTGTGTCCGTTCGTCCACCTATTCAACACTCCAAGTACCACCATCTCGCATCTATTCATCATATATTCCTCCTATAGAAGCACCACCATCCGGCGGACGTTTCAAGGAATGAACGAGAGGAGGCACACACACACTTTCTTATGGCATGCGCTTTGTGTCTACTTCCCACCTTTAACCACCTCGAGTTCATGGTTTAACCACCTCGAGTGGTGTAGTTTACTGTATTCATGGCACTGTGGCCCAGCACTCGCTAAACCTTTCTAAAACCTGGGAGGTTACGCCCAGCAAGTAAAACGTAGCAACCCTTTCTTGTCTCCTGTGCGTTGTTGAACAATAAAAAAATTTTCAGCGTGCGCGTTAACTAAAAGCCGAGTTCTCCTGTCTCTCATTCCCTTTTAGCAGCCATTGGCATGTACATCGAGCACTATCTTTTATTGTTCAACAACGCACAGAAGAAATCTCTCACCGGCACCACCTAGGAGGTCAAAATGTTATACTTGTTACACACTACTACAACGGCTACGAGGGATGAACAGGTGCCGCTATAGGGAGCTTCGCCCCTAAAATAACGGCAGCATATCCACGGAGTGAATGATGGAAAGTAGGGAGAAGCATTCGTCCATTCATGCATCCGTCTGTGTGACCGTCCATGCGTCCATCCGCCCGTCCGTGCGTGCGTCTGTACTTGCATCCGTCCCTGCGTTCGTTCATGCATCCGCCCCTGCGTCTGTTCATGCCTCCATCCATGCACATGTCTGTGTGTCCGTTCGTTCATCTATTCAGCACTACAAGTACCACCATCTCGCAATTTTTCATCATATATTCCCCATATAGAAGCACCGCCATCCAGCGGACATTCCAAGGGCTAAACGAGAGGTGGCACACGCACACTTTCTTACGGCTTGCGCTTTGGGTCTACTTCCCACCTTTAACCAACTCGAGTTCATGGCATATACTAGTTCACTGTATTCACGGCACTGCGGCCCAACGCTCGCTAAACCTTTCTAAAACCAAGGAGGTTACGCCCAGCGAGTATAACAAAGCAATCTTTTCCTGTCAGATGGTGCTCAATGTACATGCCAATGGCTGCTATTGGGAAATGAGAGACAGGAAAATTCGGCTTTTACTTTCTTCTGGCTTGCGCTTCATATCTACTTCCCACCTTTAACCACTCGAGTTCAAGGAATATACTAGTTAATTGTATTCATGGCACTGCGGGTCAACGCTCGCTAAACCTTTCTCAAATTAAGGAGGTTACACTCAGCAAGTATAACGTAGCAACCATTTCTTGTCAGATAGCGCTCAATGTACATGCCAATGACTGCTAATGGGAAATGAGAGACAGGAGCATTCGGCTTTTAGTTAACGTGCACGCTGCGATTTTTTTTTTAATTTTTCAACAATGCACAAGAGAAATCTCCCAGCGGCACTACCTTGGAGGTCAGAATGTTACACTTGTTACTCACTACGACTACGACTACAAGGGACAAACGGGTGCCGCTATAAAAAGCTTCGTCCCTTAAAAAGCGGCAGATTGCTCTCTTGGTATTATGCTATGAAACTCTATGCTTAGAGCCATGTTACAAGCCTTGCCAGCCGCAGCGCACGTGCTATCCCTGTGTGCGCACAAGCTCCAGATGAGGGTGTAGCGCGCGTGGCGGAGGAAGAGAGCGAGGTAAGCGCCTGTTCACACTAGCGGCAAGCATGCCTCGCTGTTTGACGCTTGACGTTCTCAGGCAGCCGTGCACGGTTGTTTCCTTCGCGCCCATCTGCTTTTCTTCGTCTTTCAAAATATGGGTCCGAGACCAATTTTCTCACCGTTTGCTGTTTTCCGGAGGTTGACGCTGCAAATCAGCAACGTAGAAGTGACATGACTGAGCGGCGTCGTCTGTTTTCGCATATCCGCATCCTCTGCATCGGCCGCGGGACACTCCGAGCTGCTTGTGACAGTCCAGTTTTTCGTCCTCAACTTTGCAGCGCAGCCTTTTCCTGCTTGCTTGTTTCTCCACAGCTTTCACGCTATGTCGCACATGTTATTCCCAGACTACGTTCAAGCAGCGAATAGAGCATTCTAGCCCATACATTATTCAAAAAAGCGCACAGCAATTGAACATTATGTCTCCCAAAGCAGGCGAGTGGACAAAAGACGGCCGCCATCCAGCATGAGCAATAAATAACCAACGTGTAACGTATGCTTTCCGATATTTGGGAAAAACTGCTTAATCCAACAGCCTCGAATATTTGCTCTCAAAAACGGTGCCGAATTGATTCGAGTACAGTGTTGTAGAAGCTAAAGGGCTTCAACCTAACGCGAATGGAAGCATCAGTTGAGAGCTTACGAGCTACAGAGCGCACGGCGGCTGCTTAATAGATTCAAGATGGTCGACAACTGCATTCGGAAGGGCAGCCATGTTTGTCGGAGGCTGAAATTCCTTGCCGGTGAAGCTTGCCGTGCATGTGAACGGCTATCCCGCAGACGGCGGCGGCCGATGGTCTATACGGCATTGAGCCGTTACGGCAGGCTTGCCGCTAGCGTCAACCGGCCCTTAGAGGCCAGTCTTCGTGATAGCGACAATTGGACGCCGCCAAATGCAAGAAAGGGTTGCTTAAGAATTGCTCTCTAGAATACATGACGACGCGCGGTTAGGAACCGTGACCTAATTCATTCAGGAAAACGCATATTCATGAAATGGTTGATTGTAATACCCCTCAAATATAGGGGAGAATGTTGGTAAAACATACTAATCTCGGCGTAATCACTTCACGTGCTGCTCACTAAATGCAATATGGGCACACAGCAGATGAAGCCACAATAGTTTCGACGGCTAATCACACCCGGCCGACTCTCTCTCTCTCTGTGTTGTTCTTGCTGCCGGTATTTTACCGTTGTTTGCCTGAAAAGAGGTTTATTACTGCCCTCCTTCCACTTCTCGCAAAGCGAGGAAGGATACGCGAACATTAATTGGTGGGAGTATACAGTAATTCCTTGGCTGGCACGAAATTCACGCATATGGCCTTGCACTTCATCTTCCCATAACTAAAAGCTATAAGCGTATACAAGCATTGCAGTGGCGCGTCATGCTGATACCGCTAAAGCGTGTCACGCGTAGCTTCTTACGGCCGCCGGGCTGCTTCCTCATACTTCTATGTGAAAAACATCACCATCTAATGGCTGGCGTGTGAAATGGGTGTACGTTTTGTTGGTCTCCGAAATCTCCGGCCCGTAATAAAGCTTGGAGTCGATTTGTCAGAAGGCCGGGCATCAGTGGCTTCACGCTAAAGCCTGATGTTGTTCTGTTTGCAAATCCAGTTGGTGCCTGATCTGAAATAGAGTGCATATGTCTTACTTAATATTTATAAGCATATATTCATAAACAGAATACATGTAAATTAAAAAAAAACAATAAGGTGATACGAATGTCCATGTCATCAATATTTCAAGACTTCAGCCGGCTCAGCGAAAGAAGGAAAGGTAACTTTTTGCATGTTTGTTGGGAAAGCTTTTGGCTGGGCACACTAATAGCTGCTCTCACATGTCCTGCCGCACAGACCAGGCCCCACTGGCCACCTGAGATTGCGTCATGCGTGTTCGCCCAGTCACGCGGGACTCAGAAGAAGGCATGGTGGAGTACCCCATCCCTCTTTATCCTTCAGACTTTAACAAGAAGTAGCTTTGATAGGTTTCAAACGCCACGTGTGAACTGCAACCCAACGCAGTTATCAAAGAAAAACAGAAAAAAAATTCATCTGCAATATATGACAGCCCTTCAATCACTAAATCAACCTCTCAACGTGGCCTATCTTCCATATCTCATTAAAACAGTGTCTTATTCTTTCAACGAAATGTCAGTACAGCATTATCAGCCCGCATTCTCACGTATTCCACAAGTTATACTACCAAGCATCAATGCCTACAGGCTTTATGCCCATTTACTACACGTGCCAATCACTTCTTTTTTTTAGAACTATGGTAGAATAAAACAACCTAAATGACATAAATACGACCCTGGAATGACGATGGCGATGTTAACCACACCTTGACTGAATAGCATTGTGACTGTGAGATTATTTTTTTTGTTTATATCTCCTTGCATTGTGCATGAGTATCCATCTGCTTTGAAATAGTTAGAGCAACGGTACTTGCGCTCTTGTTTTGCGCCTCCGGTGCATGCATGGAGCTAGCTGACTGTTGTTATATTCATTACCGTTTTCTTTTTTGCACACTTACCTATTCAACCAGGCATAAAAATCTTGCATTGGCTCACAGTTGTTTCAATAAAAATTAAATAGACCTGCAACTACTTCGCAGCTATCATCCAAATTTGTTAGCAGATACTCTGGCTTCCGAAAACTCAAACGTTTAGTGAGAAGGCAAATTCTACATGACAGAATAGCGCAGTATGGAGCCTGTCGTCGTAGAGCGTATTGCGAGAGTCTCCAAGTCCTGCATGGCAGGAGGATAATCTGCGCTGCTTGATTCGCAACCATAGTTTTCTCCTTACTACGTACCATGAGACAAACCTCCTAAAAAGAATGAAGGTTTACCACACGCAAGAAATGCTGAACGCAAGACAGGCGCAAGCCACAAGCGTCTTGCCTCCGTGTCACGTACTATTTTCGCCATTTTTCGTGAAAAAACACACGCATAGTATTGCCTATATACAAGTTTTTTTTTTTGTTGGATTCCAGCCGAAGCGGCTCTTGCTGCGCATCGGCACGGGGCAGCAGCCGTGATCGTATCGAACCATGGCGGCCGCCAGTTGGACGGGACTCCAGCTACGGTGAGTGAGGCATCTGTGGACGACCGTGAGTGAGGTTAAGCGTGCGCGGAACCGACGGATGAAAAGGATGAAACAAGGAGAAAAGGCACTGTCCTGTTTGTTTACCTAGTGCTGCTTGCTTCTCGAACATGCAGATGGGGCCAGCTATAGGAATGTGTGTTCGTGTGAAGCGCTAATTCGAGCTACACTGGTACAGTGAGAAGAAAGAAGGAGAGAAGCGCTTAATTTCAACTAAGCATTTTTTTAGAAAGGCGAAGACATATCTAGGTGAATAAACGAAAGCAAGACCTTGACAAGACGTCGTTCCAATGCGCGTTGCACTTACGCGTTATGAAGATGTATTAAATCGCTGAAAGTGCTATTTTAATTTTCTTTTATAGACAAGCTATGATGATACAAAAAAAGCGCTTGACAAGAGTCTCAGCGCATCGCAATTATGCTGCGATAGCAGCGAATATATTAGCAGTTGTTCGATTCCCAGAGATTAAAAAGAGAATAGAGTAATATGCTGACACCACATAAATAGTTCTGGGTAAAAGTGCAAAAAGTGCCTTTCCCTCGGTAAAACTGTGTGCGCAGGCGTCACTTAGAAAGTAGCCAGAGGACATTCTACGTGCATTATCACTCGCGCAGAATCTCCTGTGTCAGTGGCATGTGAAGCATTGTGCTTGTATACAGCGCTGTCGCTGTATAGCTTGGGGAGCATGCACTATATGTAGATGGACGAAGTGAACATCTACAGCCGTGGCGACGCTGTCAATGCGCAGTGTTCCTGCTGCAGAACATTCAAGTTCATTGCGAAAGTAGCCCAAAGGCAATGTACGGAAACCTTCAGCAGTAGAAAAAATTGCATAATCTTGGTGAGTTTTTCAATAAGGAGAAAAAATTGTAGTACTTTATCAACAGCTACCCACCACGGTGGCCCGATGATTATGACGATTGACTGCTGAAAGGACTTCGCGGGGTCGCATTCAGGCTACGGCGGCAGCTTTTTTAATTCAGGGTAGAGGCCTGTCTGCTTTGCGTAAAGTCTGCGTTAAAAAACACAAGTGGTTGAAATATCCAGCTACCTTTCACTGCTGCGTGTCCCATAATATATCACTGTTTTGGGAAGTAAACGCCAATGATATAACCGTGGTGTGCATGCTACTGCCATTCATATTAGCAGCCTGTCCGATTCGAGAGATGAAGCTTCGTGCATTCTTTTACAGCCATTTTTGGTTTCATGATAGCTGATATTTCCCGACACAGGCATGTATACCTACGAGGCGCATCGATATCTACGAGTGACATTGCTCCTAGCTGCTGCCTTTACACCTTCGCAACAGTGAAATGAGAGATGGAATAAGGTTAAGAGAAAGAAAGCCAATCAGGGCAGTGCATGGTAGGCCACCCTACACCAGGAAAGGGGAATCAAAGTTAGAGAGGAGGACAGAAAAGCACTATTGCTGCCAACGTAACAGCAGTTATGCGTTTGACACCACAAACGGTGAGTCTGTATACTATAAGTAAACAAGACCAGTGCTTTGGCTGCTTTGTGCAACTTGTATTTCTGGTTCCATTCACTCCATGTGCGATCACCGTGGTGGTGCAGCAGCTGTTCGCAGGCAATGGCCTTCAGTAAGCAAAGTCCTGTAATCCGCATACTGTCGTAAACTTCTGCCACTGGTCTCAAACTTGTAAAAGTGACTGTGCCGCCGAAAGTAATCATCACGAAATACTTTTTCAGTACGACGGCTAGATGACCATGACGCTGTGCAATCAAAAACCGTACCCACGGTGCGTAGCCTTGCGCGGTAATATGCATTTACCTCTTGGGCGCTGCCTGATATCTTAATCTGATGTGTTGGAAGGGGGGAAGGGAGAGCTTTACAACCTTTATTAGGTGAGCTCGTGTGTGTGTACGTATGCGTGTATGTATACACATGCAAAATTGCAAGATTTAGTAGAGGGCATGCCATCTGCCAGCCATTCCCCTTCCCTTCACTCTGGCATTGCCATGGATGCATACAGGGGAGATTCAGACACGTGAACAGCCTGGTGCACTGTTTTTATTACACTCTTACTTTGGAGACAATACCAAGATGCTAGAAAGTTTCTTAACTGTATCAAGGATCAATACATTGGCTCTCTGCCAACGTCAAGATGCTATACCACTTAGAACGACATGCCAAGCAGGAGAGATTGTTGATGCCGCACTATGCACGTTTCTTTCTATCGCCATACCCCGTGGCAACAGACAACAGTTCTCCGATACTTCGAAGCCACTGACACAAATGTTGCAGATTGACGTCCTTCCCGAGGTAGTGGCTGCCGTGGGGAACAAGATGGAGGTGTACCTGGACAGCGGAGTGCGCACGGGCGCTGACGTGGTCAAGGCGCTCGCTCTGGGAGCTCGGATGGTCTTCGTGGGACGGCCGGTGCTTTGGGGACTCGCGTACGACGTAAGCTAGCTGAGTGTTTCAAGCGAAGCGCGTTATGACCTATGAGTTCACAAATCGGTGGCAGCGTTGTCGTACGCAAAACACTCGGTGCCCATCGGGTACAGAAACGCGGCCTTCATAAGTGTGCTGGTTACAAGCGTATTTTCAAGCGCCCTTTTTCTACAAATGATTGCATTCTTAACAGCGATCATAATCACTTTCATCTTTTGTAAAGTTTTAGTTTCATGTTCATACACTATTTTGTTGCCTGGCTACAGCGCATTACATCCCGTGCGGGCACCGGTTCCTGAATGTCATTGAATAAACAGGATACCAGCTGCCTAGGTGAGTTCTCATGCCCCACCCACAACCAATTACAAACATTTCGCTTTTGCCGGGGACAGAAAGACAGAAAGAAACAATGATAGAGTGAGGAAAGGATAGGCAGGTTAAGGAGAAATATTTCCGGTTGTGTTGATAGCTAGTGTCATCATTAAAATAAAAATTGTAAGTGGGACTATTGTTGAAGGCTGTGCGAAGCGGTGCGTGAGGCAGGCCCCATTTGTTGGATATGTAATTCCAAATAAAAGAAGATCATTTATGTTGGGTAAGTGTAACTAGGGTTACGAAACCGCCACTCAATGATGCTTCAAGTCACTCGCAGTTGATTAAGATGCCCATTCCTTGCACCACTTTGCAAGCAGCGCTGGATAATTTCTGTGCCTATAAAATGCGAAACAGCTTCATCGAACAGACAAAAAGGCTGTATACTGTTCAATATCTGGACAACATGACATCCATTGTTAGTACCAAACTGGTACGTGTAATAAAAAAATAGAAGGAGCTACAGGGAGGCGGTAAGAAGGTCACAGATAAACTAAGAGCGGTGGTGTAGTAACATATTGAACAGAACATTCAAGTAGAACATGGCCGTTTCATGTAGACCATAAGAATAATTATGTGCCAAGCCCGGTAGGCATAGCTTCTTAGGTCCCCTTAGAGGGCACCTCATCTAGTGAAATAACGAATCGTAGTAGGAATCTGGAATTTGTGGCGCCTCAATAAAGAGCAATATGCCACGAGAAATTCGCTGTTTCTTTAGAAGCAGATAAAAACATATTTCAAAGCGGTGCAAAGCCATGATGCGAGGAGGAGAGCTTGAAACACTTGCGGCTCGCTCCGTGTACCCTTCACGAGCCAAATGTATTCCCTGGCTTCTTCGGCACGTGCGTAGGTAGATAACATGGCCCAAATGCATATACAAGTCATGTGGCACACAGAGCCACGAGTGCATGGCCTGCCGAAACTAGGGAGCGTTTATGTGTACACCTCCGTTCTATGTTCGGAGGTGCGTACATGAAGCTCGCTATTCGACCATTCCAGCGACTATAGGCGGCGCAACGGTACGTCTAAATGGAGGATGAGACGGTGATGCCACGAGCGTGCACGTGAGCGTCGCAGGGCGTGTAGACGCGTTCATTGGTTCATGACTACTGAGAGACCGAACTGCGTCACCAGATTATCACCATGTGACAGTTTCGGAGAACGGCTGCATGGCGCCGCCTGCGTCGTTGGAAGGACCGAATTGCCCTGATCACACTTGAAAGCTTCTTATAATCCTGATCACTCTTGTATCACCCGTGACGTGCTGCTGAGACAATTGACTCGCAAAAGAGACTGAATTTTCGCCTCAATGTTTGCTACCTAACACTACTTTGTTAATGCCAGGGCAAACAAGGTGTCGACAAAGTGTTCCAGATACTCAGGCAAGAACTGGAGAGGACCATGCAACTGATCGGTGAGTTGTCTCCATGTTTTCTCATTCTATTTATTGTACACTTGACATAACTGTAGCGTTTCTGGAATTAAATACCTAAGTCAAGCTTCTGCACCAAGTTTACCTTTGTGTTTGACTAGGCGTTACGGATTGCGTCAGTTCTCGTGGTCGTCACTGCGTAGACTTCATCGCAGCCTGATGAAATTGTGGTTTTCTGCAACCCATCATTTGAGGGCTTTTTATTTCTCTGTGACGCCAGTGACTGCGTTAGGGAGTGAGCACTTCTACGCTTCCTGATCAAGCATATATTACTGACGCAAAGAATTAGTGAATTAGGCTGTATGTGATGATGCACCTTATGTTGCTACCATTTTGACCTTCTTGTCACTGCCTTCCACCTTCCTCGATATGTTCTCATCCCCCTCAACACAACCGACCGCCTACTTAAATGGCACAATTTGGAAGAAACAAAGAAAGCTTCTCTTGAAATATACTTGCAAGAGTGAGAGTAAACTTGTAGTGCCGAAACGAAAAAAAAGAAAAAACCCAGTCACAAAAATAAACCAACGAGAAAGAGCGAAGAATAACTAAACCGAACTGTGCACTGCAAAAAATTGTTGAAAGGCTGCATCTGGTTGTGATCTTGTGCTTGCCGGTTCTCAATGTGCCTCGGGCCACCGAAATTGTCGTCGCAGTGGACGAAAAGAGCCTGCGCCGACCAATTAAGGGGACACCCTTCCCTCACGCGCGGAAGCGCGGGCTTCTTTCGCCTACAGCGGCGACATTTGTGGGTAGCCCAACGCACGTCGAGTACCAGCAAGCACAAGATCATAACCAGATGCAGGCTTTCAACGATATCAGGCCGTGTACAGTTTGGCTTCGTTATGTCTCGCTCTTTCTCGTTGGCCTATTTTTTTAGCAGCGCTTATTGTTTCTTGTTCTGTTTTTGTTCTGTACTTACGAGTGGCGTGGCAGTAAACAAGTTTAAACGTAGACGTTAGTGTAATCATGGCTGGGCTAGAGGAGCGGCAGGCGCTTGCCGCTCGTCCTGCCCAGCCGTTGTTTAACCCAATTCCTGACGAAGGAAGGATCTCTTCGCAAACTGTTGGGAAATAAATGTATACATCTATTGGGGCACCACTTCATGTAGGTTATAACCCATATATATACACACACACACACACACGCACATATATAAATATATATATATATATATATATATATATATATATATATATATATATATATATTAAAAGAGACAGAGAGGGAAAAGACACAGATAATAGCACTACCACTTCGTTCCCTTAAGGTCGCAAAATACCTTCTTTCTTTCCTTTTTTTTGTGTTCTCATTCTAGGTTGTTCCGACATCAGGCACCTGTGCGAGGACTTCCTCTTAAGAAATAACCGCTCTTTGGTGCATTGCAATTCATGTAAACTTTGAAGATGTTGATGGATTGGTTGTACAGCCTGGAGGTGATCTACGCGGTCAACATGAATTTCGGCCATGACACCAGAAGTACTAATATAAACTTAAGTGTACGCCTGCTTCCTTCAACGGACAGTTATATATTTGTGTCCATTGCGTTGTATTGCTTGCGGTAAACGAAAGAGCATTGGTGAAGTAGATCATCATGTGTTGCCAGCAGTTTTCATCTCACGGTTTCATGTGAAAACTTGAAAACATTACAAGAAGCGCATACTGCAGCGAGTTTAATGGTTGTGTTCATTCGAAAGTTTTGCAACTCACCGTTGATATAATACGTCAGTACTCCTTAGGCTTAAATATAGGCTAAATACTGTCTCAGTTACAAATTTTTGCTTGCTGTAATTAAAGAGGCTGTGAGAAACTAGTGCGGGAACTACTTGGAACATAATGCAGGTAAAGGCATCGCTGCAATGTTGAGGACAGAAGAAACTTGACTGAACAGACAACTGAGGTTGTCTGTGTAGTCCAGTTTAAAATACGAATGCATTTCTTATGCCTAGTTCACACTGAAACATCCGCTTTCTACAGCGACCGAAATTCCCCTGCCGCCGAAACGCAGCGTCGTTCGCACTGGACGCGCCCCGCGCCGCCGAATATGCCATCTACTACGGGGCGGACGCGGGATGGATGCGCTGTCACCCGGTTGTTGCCGCGGCTCGCAAACGCGCTTACGCTATCCGGTGGTGTATACTTCGACGATTCTCGTACGCAAGAAGCAAAAAAAGACAGTACTGCTTACTTTACTGGCAAGTGGCTGTCTTGTAATGCACGAAGAGCAGAAAAACCACCGACGCCAGCGGCGTTGGTAGGTTCGTTTTGCTTTGCTAGACCGCAACAAGCTCGGTCACGCCAACAGCAACCTCGGTCACCTCTTTCACGAAATACGGAGGTGAAGTAGGCACAGAGCAGGTTAAACTCCCATTGGTTTCAACATTCAGTTACGTGCACTGCTGCATAACAAGTGAGTAGGGCTTGGCCGCCATTTTTCAAAATTCCTTGACTAGCGCTCCTATTAGTCCGCGGTGACCGATTCGGCGGCAGACGCCGCAAAAATCGGTCCGAGAGCGATCGGCGCGGAGAGGGCCCTTTCGGCGGATCTCGCCGCCGCCAGACCGGATTCGGAGCACTTTTGGCGGCCGGATTGCTCAGTGTGAACGTGGCCTTAGTCAGGCTATAGGCTATGTCAAGCGCCCATCGGGATCCGTGCACCACCCTCTTCCATAGCAACAGCTGCGCGTGCGCACGTGCCTAGCAACCGGAGCCCTTACCATGCCACGCTTCGGCGTAGGCACGTGTCAGCAACAGCTGCGGGCGCGCGTGCCTATTATCACCCCTAGCAACCGGGGCCCCAGCCTCCTTGACTTGAACGCGACTTGCCACCGTCTCAATGCAGTGCGATTGAAATGCGTTTGTAGCGTTTGTGCTGCCAGTGCTTGTGTGGTGTTTTTTTTTTACCCATGTATGCTAAAGCCAGAAACGCATACCACCTTTCTTGCTACAGAAAAACGCCACGTGCAACTAACAGTGCTGTTGGCGGCACGGTGTAAGGAAAAAAAGCATTATTCTCCGATGCTGGGTTCTCACGTTCCACACGCCTCTATGGATGCTAAGCAATGCAATCAGATTTCCTCACGATCCCGTTCGGGGGTGTAGGGGCCTTTTTTTTTATGGGCGAATATCCTGTTTAGAGAAATTTATTCTCACAGACAGTGAACATCAATTACAATCCAACAGAACATTGCGACAGAACACAACATCCACAGACACACCAAAAGTTGTTACAAAAAGATATGTACCCGTTTACCCCTCGTAGTCGTAGTCGTAGTCGTAGTCGTAGTGTGTAACCAGTCTTACCTTTTGACCTGCAAGGTGGTGCTGGTGGGAGATTTCTGCTGTGCGTTGTTGAACAATATAAAATTCGCAGCGTGCACATTAACTAAAAGCCAAATTCTCCTGTCTCTCATTCCCCATTAGCAACCATTGGAATGTACATTGAGCACTATCTGACAAAAAAGGGTTGCTACGTTATACTCGCTGGGCGTAACCTTCTTGGTTTTAGGAACGTTTAGCGAGCGTTGGACCGCAGTGCCATGAATACAGTGAACTAGTATATACCATGAACTCGAGGTGGTTAAAGGTGGGAAGTTGACAAGAAGCGCAAGCCGTAAGAAAGTGTGCATGTGCCACCTCTCGTTTCGTCCTTGAAATGTCCGCTGGATGGCGGTGCTTCTATATCCGGAATATACGATGAAAAAAACGCGAGATGGTGGTACTTGGAGTGTTGACTAGGTGGACGAACGGAGACACAGACAGATGCATGAACGTACGCACAGATGGCTGCACGGACGGATGGACGCATAAATGGACGCAGGGGCGGATGCATGGATGAACGTAAGGATGGATGCACGGATGGATGTGTGGACGCACGAACAGACGCACGCGTGGACGGGTGGATGTACGCATGGACGGTCACACAGTCGGTCGCATGGATGTACGGCAGCAGAAATTCGGTGGTGTGAGCACCGTCTGTGGAAATTCTTGAACATGTTCCCGTTGCAGTCCACCACATTTGCCGAACAGTGTAAGGCTGCATCTTACAACTGCCCAAATTGCCAATCACCTTATGACGCCTCATTTAAGGAATGCCCGAAAATAAGGCGCGAAATTTTCGTTTTGAAGAAAATGGTTAGGGACTATTCGACTCACCGGAAAACAGCTGCTGTCGTCAAGTCACATTGTTTTCGTCGCAGACGCCCATCAAGAAAGTCTCCCTACCGAAGCATGCTTGCAGCAAATCCATTTTTTGGTGGAATCTACATTGTTAGCAACGCCGAAGTCAAAGAACACGTTCACTCTGAATACTACACCCGAAAAAGAGACTGTGGAATAAGCATGACCATCACTTCCAAGAATAACAGCTGTGGATAAGGTGCAAAGCGCACCGGTGGCACCACACTCCGCATCTCGCCCAGATGAAGCTAGAGAGCGTGACCGTCGAATTTCGACGATGATCAAGTTTTCATTGATGCAATACGCAGCCTTATAGGTGATATGAATACCCCAGCAGCACGATGCGCCGTGCAAGTATTCGATGCTCTGAGTCCAGTGCTTGCCAACCTTGCGTAAACAAAATGGCTCGCCCGCCGCCTTCATTCCGCGAAGAAGTGCGTAGTGTGATGGTCTTCCAGTGGAATGCCAGAGGACTGAAAACAGATTTCCTGTTTTCACCGGCATGTTTTCGGCAATAGATTTCCTATATTAGTAATATGCGAACCAAACCTGTCAGAACCGATCAAGCTCTCTGGTTACGAATCATCGACCTGTTGTGAACCCAGCAAACTAATTGTAGGTATTCGCTCAAATCTAACCTACATGCCGCAGTTGGTGCAGCCCCACAACGAAAATCAGTGTGTGTGCCTCCGCGTTACAAAACAGAAGGTAGCCTTCACGTTTATTGGAGCTTACATCTCCATCTCTTCAATTCGACGGTGAAAGACTGCATGACATCTTGACGGCTACACCTGGTCCCAACATTATCACTGGCAATTTTTGTGCTAATCACTTCTTTTGAGGTAGCACGAAAATTGATTCTAGAGGCCGGAAACTTGCTCACTTCACCTCACGCCACGAACTTCACACTATGAATGACGGTCATCCAAAGTATATACATGATTTCAGTTACGCACAAGTTACAACAGCAGTTTAGATTGGGCGCTGGTGTCATGGCAATTCACTCAAGAAGTGCGATGGTTCACCGATATTGAGACTCACGGCAGTGACTATATTCCAACGTAATTGAAAGACACAAGTTTTGCAAATTCCTCTTCACAGTTTACAGAAAAGTTAGTAGGTCAATATATAGGACGATGGAGTATGAGGCTTCCGAAGGTGTCACGTGCTGTCTGGAGGAGGTTATCAGAAATGTAATGGAAGCGGTTTAGAGCACCATTATGCACACATCAAAACGCACAGAGTTTGATGCGGAACTTGAGTGACTACGCATGATTTAGAGGCGACTGAGAAGAGGCGCAGGCGAACTAATTTAATTCATGGCCGCAGAGATGCTCGACCTTTACAAAATAAAATCCAACGTCGAATGGACAAGCTGGCAGGCGAATGGTGGAGGAAATTTGGCGAATCACTGGGTCTTTGCAAACCGATGTCCCTTATATGGCGAACGGCACGTGGTCTTGGGTGGAATCTACAACTACGACATCCATTCAGCACACTGGCTCTCCAACAAGGCCGCCTTGAAGTTGACATTGCCGAAGATTTCTGCGTGAGGATTGCGGGTGATGTGGTGACCATGAGTTATGAGGTTCTCGGCGATGCTCTTGAGTGCGGATCCCTGAACTAAATGTGCTTTTCTCACTCAAAGAACTCGACAGGGCCCTATCTTCCTGCAGGCATTCATTCTCACCTGGGCTGGATGGCATCACCTATGCTGCATTATGCCATCTTGGAGGACTGGGTCGGGGCCTGCTACCGGAATGCTACAACCAGTCATGGGCTGACAGTGTCGTTTCTCATAGGTGGAAATCCAGACATTTGGTACCGATCTTCAAGCCTAGAAAATCGCCGCTTGACCTCGCATCATACCGATCAATTGCGCTGTCTAGTTGCGTTGAGAATATAAGGGAAAAAATGGTCCTCACACGCCTGGAATGATCGCTAGAGTGCTACAATATATATCCAGAAGCTACGGCTGATTTTCCACGAGGCCGTTCTTCTATAGACAATGACGGTGACCTTGTGACCTCTGTTCAACAACAGAACTCCCTCAAGCGCATATCCGTTGCTATGTTCCTCGACGTGAAAGAGGCCTATGACACCGTAATGCACGACGCCAATCTCGATGCCTTGGAAATAATTGGAATTGGTGGGAGAATATTTAAATGGACTTGGAGCTACTCATTGAAGAGATCCTTTTTCATGCACACTGCAGAAGGCCGCACCATACACCATTACAGATCTCGTGGCGTCCCACA